AAACAAACAAAAACAAAAGAAAAAAACAAAGTGAAAGAATAAGGACCCAAGTTCGATCCCCCGCACCCAAAATTTTTAAAAAAAAAAAAAAAAAAAAAAAAAAAAAAAGAAATAATTTAACTAGCACAGTCTTCTATTCCTGCTTCTGAGATAGAAGAGAGGTCCCTGTAAAGGAAATTTTTAGTTTTCTTCCACAGCTGCCCCAATTTCTTAGAGCCAGCCTGGCTACATCACATGCCCCATGGCCATTCTGCAAGATATGTACTTTGGTTACAACAGGCTTTGGACACAGACTTATCCTAGACAACTTAGCCCTGCAGCAGGCCCTCTGGACCTGTCCCCAACTAGGTCTGACAGGTGGGGGTGTGGTCACTTATAATCCCAGCACTTTAGGAAGCTGAGTCAGGAGGATGGCTATGAGCTGGAGCCCAGCCTGGGCTACACAGGGGGACCCTGTCATAAACAAGCAAACAAACAAATAAATATTAAATAAATAAAATAGGTCTGAGAGGAGCCCTTCCCCTACCAACAACCAAGCATAAAGTCTGATACTGCACATATACGATGAGCCTCTTTTTCCCTTACAAGCAACTTCTCCATTCCCTTAGTGGGTTTAGTGCAAGCACCGGTTCCCTTATGCTGCAGTATGAAACCTAGTAAAGCATCTTCTAGACAGAATAGCTTTGCCTGGTCATGATTTTTATCTCAAGTACAGCATGCTGAGCTGTGTGCTAAGAGTGGGTAGTACCAAAGGGCAACGGCACTGAAAGCAGAGAATGATGGAAAGTGACAGAGAGGGCCTGCACCTCCATGACTAGAGGGGCTCCCAGGCCTGCTGTAGCTGCTTCTTTTTAATGGCAAAGCAAGCCGCTAACACTAAAAAAGCTGAGAGCCACAGGCACTCAAAGCCTGGGCTGTTAACACTGACAGTTCCTGATTTCCATACAAACTGAGCAAGAACTCTCAGCCGATTGTAAGATCTTGGAAAATGACTCCTCTTTCGAGCAACCTGGAGAGGAGGCCAGACAATACTGATGGTCACCAGCAGGCTCAAGATCTCGCTCAAGTCTGTTTCCCTTTCATGCAGCTAAGAATCCATACAAGTGCTGGTAATATTACTGTTTTAAGATAAATTTAGATAATTGGTAGGAGAATTCTAACTTTTCTTTTAAAAAATTACCTTGGATCTTTACCTTCCACATGAAACTACGGAGATTTGTCTGGGATTGAAGCGTATAGATTAGGAAACTTCTTTTTTTTGGGGGTTACTGGGGATCGAACTCAGGACCTTGCACTTGTGAGGCAGGAGGTGGAACCACTAGGAAACATTTTTAAAATAATATCAAATATTTTCTTCAGAAGTATATCTCTCTCTTCACTTAACAAGTTAACATTCCTTAAAATACGTTTTTTTTTTTAGTACCAGGGATTAAACTCAGGACCTTGCGCTCGCAAGGCAGGCGCAGTGCCACTGAGCTACATCCCTGGCCCAATATTCTTTCAAGTTTTAATACTTTTCTTTATAAAAACCTTACATACTTACATTTATTCTTGGGTAAATTTATTTTCTTTGAGGGAGACTACTTTTTGTTTTGCAAAAGGAATCTTTTCTACTAATCATATTTTTAAATTAGTTACTGCTGGCATATATGGAAAAGCTACTGATTTTTTCTTTGCTTAACTTGAATTTGGCTGTTTGGCTTAATTCTCTTTTTCGCTGTTCTCTTGAGATTTCTATGGGTGCTAATGGATGGCAAATTACAAAGCTCAGGCCAAGTCTGGTCTGCTGCCTATTTTTGTAACACAGCTGGGACATAGCTCTGGCTCATTTGTTTCTGTTATCTGCGGTGCTTTCATGCTAGAATGGCAGCAGTGAGTAACTGACAGACAGAAATCCTACTGAAAAGCCTAAAATGCTTAACTATAAGCAACTAAAGACTGTCGACCATATGATCTCAAATGACAATTCTATCTCTCCTCTTCCAAATGTATTCCTTTGTTCATTTCTAAATGAACACCACTGCCAACATAATGACAAACAGTAATGAAAACAGCACTTCAGTCCTGGAATGCCTTTGATTCAGCATTAAGTCTCATTATTAAGTTTAAATAAAACTTCCTTTTATTTAAAAGAAATTGTTATGCATACTTGAAGTACATAATGATTACATTACAATTGTTGGGGAGAGTTGGTACATGTACATGACACATCTTTAAGGGTTTCTTGTCAATACCTTTCGGAGTTAAGAACATTTCTTTTTTTAAATTTTTTTTTGGTACCGGGGATTGAACTTGGGTCCTTGCACTTGCAAGGCAGGCCACCGAACCGCTGAGCTAAATCCCTAGCCCAAGAACATTTCAAAGCTTAAAATTTTTATTTAAAAGACTGGCAATCAGAGATTATGTCTTTTCCACTTTTTTCTGTGAAACAGTGGCAGTAACACAAAATAGTGTCATGTCTCCCCCAACCCCCAGCTTTTGAGATAGGGTCTCACCATGTGTAGGTTGGCCTCACCTTGAACTCACTACGTAGCCCAGGCTGGCCTTGAACTCACATGATGCTTCTATCTCAGCCTCCTGAGTATTGGGATTATAGGCATGCCACCACACCCAGTCAAATACAAAATAGTTTTTTGTTTTGCTTTGTTTTGTTTGAGGCAGGGTCTCACTATATAGTTGAGACTGACCTGGAACTCTCTATATAGTCCAGGAGGGTCTCAAACTCACAGCAATCCTCCTGCCTCAGCCTCCCAAGTACTGGGATTATGGGTGTGTGCCAAGCCCGGGTAAAATAGTTTTTAAGAAAATATGTATAGCAGAAAATCAGAAGGTGACAACCCCATATACTGTATATGTAATTTTTGTCTGTGTGATGCTGAAGACTGAACATAGGCAATACCTTGGTATATATATTCTAGGCAGGTTCTCTTAACACTGAGCTACATCCCTTACCCCAACCCCATACTAATGGCGTTAACTAGTCATGAAATTTAAAAGCCTAGAAAACACAAGGATGAGTTTTAAAGGAAATATAGTAATACAGCAGAAACTCTTATAAAGATCATGGAGCACATTGCTTTTCTTACTCAAAACTATACTGGGTTTATTTGTAAAGCAGTGGCGCAGATTAGGTTTTTGTAATGACCACCCATAACCGGGGAGCAATAAGCTGCATTTCCAAGACTTTTTACTTTTTATTTTGAGTTGCCCTGTGATCCACCTACTGCTGGCCTGTGACCCTCCTACTCAACCCTGACAGCGGGGATTACAGGGGTGTCCTACCATGTCCACTTAGTTCAGCAGGTAGGTGGCAAAGAATATGGGCTTTTGGGTATGGGTGGCCTAAGGTGGGTTTCTGGCTACTTACACCGACCGATATTTGTGAGAACGTAAGCAGTATATGTAACCTCTCTAAACAACAGTTCTCTCTTAGAATGAGGGTAACAGCTGTATTCTCAGAATTAAATGATAAAGCACTCTGTATAATTTGGATATAATGAGTATTCAAATAATATTTTATGTAATTCTGATTTGTGCATAAATCTTTTTTAGTACATTTAAGTAGTATCATAATTTAATCTTTTTAATAGCAAAGTGAACATTTCAAGTTAATTCAAAATAAGGAACAAGGGGTACTCAGTTCTAAATGTGTTAATACTAACAAATAAGTCAATATTAATAAGTATATAATTGGAGGAAATATTTAACTATTATAATTGTTCTCTATAAATTATCTTGTAATTGTGTATCTCCTGTACAAAACAACTTACAAAATTTGGTACAACACAAAGAAAACACTGTTAATACAGGAAAAAATTAGATCAAATGTAAGTTTCTTCATATATATACCCCCCAAAAATTTGGGGGATGCTTAATAGATATTCAAAAAATGTGTTCACATTCAAAATTTAGTAAATGCTGATATTTTTGTTTGTTTCTTTGTTTTTTGAGACAGGGTCTCACTATGTAGTTGAGACTGACCTGGAACTCACTGTGTAGCCCAGGCTGGTCTCGAACTCGCAGTGATCTTCCTGCCTCAGCCTCCTGAATGCTGGGATTACAGGCGTGCGCTACCACACCCGGCTAGTAAATGCTGTTTTGAAACTAGCACTGTTCCATGAAGAAACAAAATTGACTCATATAGTAATGTACACTCTTCTCTTCAGGAGAGGAAAGTTGGTCAGAATGCTGCCTCCAACTTAGTGTCAAACCCTTTCTTCTCTCACCATTTCAAAGTAATAAAACTGTGAGCAATGCTAGATACAAATTCTGCAAAATGCAGTAATTCTTTTTTTTTTTTTTTTTTTTTTTTTTTTTTTGGTTTTTTTGAGACAGGGTCTCACTATGTAGCCTAGACTGATCTTGAACTCACAGTGATCCTCATGCTTTTCAAGTGCTGGGATTAGAGGCGTGTGCCACCACGGCCGGCTAAAATGGAGTAATTCAATACGGAGCTGGGAATAAGTATTCCCATTATTCTTTAACACAGATCTCAAAGAAATTCCAGAAGATGAAGTAAAAAGTGTTAAACACACACACACAGAGGCACACCAGGCACAGTGGCATGTGACTGTACTCCCAGCATCCTGGGAAGCTATAGCAGGAGGGTCACAAATTTTGAGCCCTGCCTCAGCAACCCAGCAAGATCTTATCTCAAATAAGAAGTGGAACTAGGGATGCAGCTCAGTGTAAAGGCCCTGAGTTCAATACCGAGTACCACCCAAGGAAGAGAGAATACAGAAGCCTGGTGGAGGAGAGAAGGGTAAAGGGATTTAAAATGATCAAGAAATGTGCCAATTCCCCCAAAATGAATGTAACTATTGCATAATGCAAACAGGAAGCAACAAAAAAAAGTGCTGGGTGTGGCAGTGCACAACTGTAATCCCAGCACTTGGGAGGCCGAAGCAGAAGCACTGCAGCTTTGAGGCCACCCTGGGAGGGCTACATCAAGACCCTGTCTCAAAAAGAAAAAAATGAAAGAGCAGTAACAATTTACTTACTTCACTAGAGCAGCTGCTTCTGGAAGGACGTCGGCAAACGATTCACGAAATATGATTGCATTTTTCCTTTTACAGTTCTGTATGACATCATTGGCAAGGTAGAAGAGATTCAAACGGTGGGGATACGCAGCTAGAGATACCAAAAGACAATAAAAACCAATGAGTCACGTATACTTAGTTCAACTTCTTTCTTTTTTTTCTTTTAGTTCAACTTATTTTAATCACAGTGTTCTCGCTATGGTTTACTCAAATACAGTGCGCTGTTTTTTCATAGATATAAAAGGATGAGGGCCGCGGATTTAGTTCAATGGCGCCCCGTGCCTGCCTCACAAGCACAAGTCCTGAGTTTGATCCTCAGTACCAATAAAAACTATACAGTCATGCCATTTCTGGAACATCACTATAACTCTTCAAACCCCAGATTCCAGCCTGAATTTCTCACGACTCCATTTCCTGTAGAACCACTGGCCCCACTCTCTCATGTCCAGCAACACAGTTCTCTTTAAACGAGCGCTTCTTGTCCCTGTAGCTTAGTACATTGGCAACACTACTATCAGCGATTTTATTCCATGAATTCTTCACCCAAGTCACGATCCCTTGCAAGCTGGGCCTCACAGAGTTTCCATTAAGCCAAGTGTTAATCAAAGACTTACAAGACAGGAGTGGAAGCAAAAATGGTAACAGTTAATGATGGTCACACAAAGGGAGGCAAAATTGTGGGCACCCAAATTCACAAAACATTTATTTCATGAATGCATTAAGTACGACCATCACAAACACAATCTGTGCAGTTATAGATTCTTATTAGACACACTGCATCCATTCATCATCAAGTGCACACGTTACTCATGTGTTGTGTCTGTCCCCTAATTGGTCACTTGGCAATAAGTCTCCAATTCATCTGCTTACATAGGTGTTTACTGCTCACTCGAAGCTGCCTGCTTGGGTACTTACAATTTATATTGTCATTTATTTGAAGCATTAATGTCAACATTATTTATTTATATATTATATTGTTTTATAATTAAGTATGACCATTGTGTGCTGCAATAGACATACTAAATGCCTCAGTCTATCTTAACTCAGGCTTATTTTGGGGGTAGGGCTTATATTGCAAGCATCCTGAAAAACTGTGGTAGGGCTTATTTTTGGGAAATATGGTACACAGATGGAAAGGAGGGAAAAGAGGATGGATAAATGATCTGCTGGATCAGTTTACTGAATGTACTATAATCCTCAACTACTTCAGGTTAAATTTCTATTCAAGGCACCCCCCTCAAGTAGATTTCGCCTTAAGAGTGTAGCACTAAAAACAAAACAAACTTATTAACTGTAGAAAAACTAAAATAAAACAAAATTGTTCTAATTCAATTGTTCTAATTGTTCTCCAGATATTTGGAGAGATGCAAGTATTGAATTTTTGTTGTTGTTTTGTTCTGTTTTTTAAAACAGGGTCTTTCTCTGTAGTTCAAACTGGCCCTGAACTCACTATGTAGCCCAGGTTGGCCTTGAACATGTGGCAATTCTCCTGCCTCAGCCTCCCAAGTGCTGGGATTACAGGCGTGTGCCACTACACACAGGCTAAATGTACTGAGTTGGATAAACAACTTGTTCAGAAATACCAAGGTTAACCGGGCGTGGTGGCGCACGCCTGTAATCCCAGCACTTGGGAGGCTGAGCCAGGAGGATCACTGCGAGTTCGAGACCAGCCTGGGCTACATAGTGAGTTCCAGGTCAGTCTCAACTACATAGTGAGACCCTAACTCAA